AAATTAAACAACAATGTCACGAACTTTCAGTTGTAGGAATTGAAAGTGGCTGCTTTCGTGTAGTTTTGTAGGTGCTGCACAAGTTTGCTGCTGAACGTCCGAGGGCCTTCCGCTCTGAGCTTAAAGTTGAGACCTCGGCTGCTTGCAGGCTCGTTAGACTTGGCCAAGCCCACTCTTGCCGTATTCTCAGGAGACTAAAAATCGGCAAGGAGATTCTGACTAGTCGCTGATTTCGATCAGGAGGCCAAGCAGACCCAGAATAATTTTAACCTAAATGAAGTGAGTCTACCGCTGAAGTTCGAGCATGCCGAAAATTTTATTAGGGTTGAGTATTTAAGCAGCAGCTCCATAACAACGTGCAATGCAAGTTTTCAGCACTTGAAGCACCTAACTCTACGATATATTTGTTGCCATCCGTGATGGTGTTATCGGTACCAACGCCAATTTTTGTCCGGACCACTTCTTATATAAATACTCAATTCAATATCCTATAATCTTGTTTCAGCTGTGTTTACTTGTATACCTGAAAAGCACGAATTTCATGCTCCCACACTGCCACGCCCCGCAATCCAAAGAGAAGATTTGTCCCTTGAATCAATTATTGTTGCTGTCTAAAATTTCATCTCCTGCCTGAGGTTACGTAAACGATGCGACGGGGAGTCCCTTTTGAATCGCGTCACGTTCCTTGCCGCATCATACCCAGCCAGATCCCTAGCATTTCCTAATTCCTATCATATTGCCACCACATTGTTCCAAGTTTTCAATAAAAATTTCACTCCTACGCAATTTTTTCAATTTACCTAACTAAAACCGTCAGTAAACGATACCAGAAGAATAAATTGAAACGAAATGTTACTGAATAAAATGTTACTGAAAAAAATCCAACATATGATGTTTATAATACTTCCAATTGAGAAGGAATAAACCACCGCTACGAATCAAGATATTTAATATGAGTGCATGGTATGGGCTCTATATGCATTTCGTTACAATTGGTACCATCTAATTGTACGAAGGAAATTTTCCAGCTACTCTCAAACCAGGATAAACAGCACAGTATTCGTCTCTTAATCATGCAAGCCAATTATGCTATATGACTCGACTCTTTACGATCTATTTGATCCCATATTTCATTCATGATTTACATGCATGCTTACCAGCATAATTTACTGCAGTTAGTCCAAGAAAAATCAATGAAGTATGGTCCATTCTCTCGTTGCAGCCATTGCAGCTCCACAATTTACTGAAAAAATCCTACTTTGAAATAAATACAGTAATTGATTTTGATTTTTTAAATACTTTTGGGAGCATATTTATCGATCTGCACGAAACTTGACAGGTTTCATCACACAGCTCTTAAAACTCTCTATAGGGTGCGTTCAATTCATTATAACAGTTTGCTTCGATAATATATGCTGACTTTTTTGACAAAAGACAGAATTTCACTTTTTGCGTATCTATGGGTGTTGCATCTAATAGCAGTATTTCAAATTATTCTTTTTATTATTTACAATGAACTAATTTTACCTATAGAACCTGTTTGACACAAATCATGTAAAACGGATGAAGAATTACCGAAATATTCAATTGAACATTTTTGTCAAGGTTTCATCGGTAAAATTTCAAAATATTCAGCAACATTACCATATAGCCATTGGAAAAATATAAAAAATCTTGATAAACTGGATAGCCTTAAATCACGAAACCTGGATAGACTGTGGTTAGATAGCCTTTGATTCGCGCAATCTTGATAAACTTTGGGTAGCCTCTAGATCACGCAATCGGGAAAAACTGTGGATAGCCTCTGAATCACGCAATCTATGTAAACTGCGAATAGCCTTGAATCGCGCAATCTTGATAAACTGTGGATAGCCTTTGAATCACGCAATTTTAATAAACTGTGAATAGCCTCCGAATCACGCAATCTGGATATACTGTGGATAGCCTCTGAATCACGCAATCTGGATTAACTGGGAATGCCTGTCGAAGACCACCACCTGTCACCACGCCACCACTGTTTCGAATGGACTTTTATGATCTCTTACCTCAAAAAAGTGGCTATAACACTTCTGGCCTGTAACATTATCATCGGCAAGACAACAAACAGATCACATCCATTGAAATAGATCAATCAGCTCACAAGAAAGTAGCCTGACGTAGTATGGCCCAGTATCATCTGCCAATACGCGATAAAATTCTCCATCACTCGGAAAGAGCGCACCGGAGCCTTGCAGTGAATATGATGGCCGCTACCAACCCGTCCGTATCTCCCGTACGTAAATCGAAACAGCCCACGGTCGAACGGCCACCAGTCGTAGGGCGATAAATTTTGGAACAGAACTATGCTATCTGAAACCTAACCTCTGAAGATGTGAGCGAAAAGTAACGTAAAGTCACGATGCCTCGCTTGTCTTATTCGGTCCGCGGTCTGGTGGCGCAAGGCATGTTACATGCAGTTCCCCTGACGAACCAGGCTGATTGGTGGCAGTCCGTTGTCCGCTGGTTACAGTTAGAACCATAGTCAGGGAATTTTGTTTTGATTTAGGGAATTTTATGTTTTGATGCAACGTTCAGTGGTGGACGATCATCATTATCATCTGGGCTATTTGCTTCAGAATATTGTGGCGTAACGCTCACGATATTTAAAGCAAAATCAAGTCATGGCTAGTTATAAAGACGGCAGGTTTAATCCACGGCTGATGCTTCCCTTCAAGAACGTAGCCTATAATACTTCTTGACTGTAACATTATCTGCCGCGAGCCAACTGACAGATCAAATCCTTTGCATTAGATCAATCAACCCACAGGAAAGTAGCCTGATGTAGTACATATGTCTGTAGTGACATAAATTAAGTAGTATGGCCCAGTAGCAGTAGGTAAGGTTCATAGTACCAAGATTGGCGCAGAGAGGCGCGGGTTCGATCCCAGCTCTGTGCGTCAGTTTCTGGTCAGAATCGGCAAGGAGGCCGGGCGGTTAAGCACAGCAGAATTATAGCAGTGAGTGAGATGCGAGTTCGAGACCGCAACCAAGCTGTGGATTTTCTGCGATGTTAAGAATCAGCGACAGGCCTACGGCCTAATAAACGCTGAAACCGCTATTATTATTATTATTATTATTATTATTAACATTATTATGTTCCAGCATCGTCTGCCAATACGCGAAAAATTTTTAAACCACTCGGACGATTCGCGCCGGAGCCTTGCAGTGATTATTATGATCGCCACCAGCCTGTCCGTATCTGTCCCGTGTGTCCCATCAGCCTACGGTCGAACAGCATATATATCGTCGTAGGACGATAACTTTTGGTACAGAACTATGCTATCTAAAACCTAGTCCCAGATGCTGTGAGCTAAAAGTGACCGTCTGATGGTGCACTGCCGGATTCATGTGAGGAACGCAGCCGTGCACCATCACCAAATTTGTGCACCAATCAGCGCTGAAAGAAACGCCTAACATATTTCCGGGTGACCATCAATCAGCCGCGGATTAACCCTGCCGTCAGTAACCAGCCCATGACATCATCTTGCTTCAAATATTGGGAGCTCTACGCCTCCATATTCTGAAACGAATAACCCAGAGAGTATTGGTTATCCACCACTAAACGTTGCATCGAATCATCACTTCATACCCTGACTTTAGCTCGAACTGTAACTAGCGGACAACGGACTGTGACCAACCAGCCCAGCTCGCTTGTGGAATTACATGCATCCTGCCGTGCTATCTATAAAAATCTATCGTCCTTCGACGAGTGACTTCCGCAGCTTCGCTAAATTACGTAACTTTTAGCTCACAGCATCTGGGGTAAGGTTCCAGATAGCATAGTTCTGTTCCAAAATTTATCGTCGTACGATGCGTTGCCGTTCGACCGTAGGCTGATTCGGCACACGGGACATATACGGACGGCTCCGGCGTGCTCCATCCGGGTGGTGTAAAATTTTTTCGCGTATTGGTCGACGATGCTTGGCCATTCTACGTCAGGCTACTTTCCTGAGAGCTGATTGACCTAATTCAATGTATGTGATCTGTCTGGTGGCTTGCGGCTAATAATGTTGCAGTCAAAAAGTGTTATAGGCTACATTCTTGAGGGAAGGGATCATTCCCAACCCCTTCCCCAACCCCAAACCTCCCCAACCACACATTCATCTCCTACTGTCTTTACAATTTCTCCTTCCTCTTTCTGGCTACTCTGCGCTACCCTTTTTTCTCTTCCACTCTTTCCTAGCGGCACCGCAATAACAATAACAAAGTTCAGTGATGGTGGATCATTACACTCTGGGCTATTCGCTTCAGAATATGGAGGCGTAAAGCCCCTCATATTTAAAGCAAGATGATCGATGTCAGGGGCTGCTCACTGACGGATGGCTTAATCCGCGACTGATTGGTGGTCACCTGGAAATATGCTAGGCGTTCCTTTCATGGCTGATTGATGCCAAAATTTGGTGGTGCACGGATGTTTTCCTCCTTGAATCACGTAATCTATTAGAAACTCATATGTTGAAAAGGTTCATATTATGCAAAAAATATATTATGTTATGCTAAGAGCAGTAAAAATAATTAAAACGTAATTAATAAAATTATCAAACGTGTTTCTCTGCTGCGATAAATCATATAACCTATTTTGAGTTTATATTCCTGACGTTTCTCTCCTCATGTGCTGTGTTTTCTCTGTCGCCTTTTTCACATAAATCAACAGAGTGTCCAATAAATAACTGATGTGCTCGAATTTGCGTGTCTTGATGGATGCTAGATTATTTTTCTTCAGAAGAGCAGCGTCAGGGAAGGCCAATGAGCAATGCGCCATTACAGCTAATTTAGACAAAGTGTGATTTCCGGGCCAGTATTGTCTGATATATGAGCTAAAATAGGGCTATGAGCGACATATTAAACGCAAATACAGGCATGTCAGCGAAATCAATTCCTACTGAATTTTATATCTGTACCAGATCACTGCACCATGAAACTGCTCGCTTCCAAGCCAATTCTTCGCCAGAAGTCAAGTAGAGAGCACCCCTAGCACTATGTTGTGTCAGTCATCTAATAACAATATTTATAAACAAATAAAAATATTTAATATCTAGTGTTAGGTGTGGCGTTTAAATATCAGACGCAATAGTGAGGTGAGTCTTTACGAATTAAATGTTCTGAAAAACTGTCGTTCCGCATGAATAATGAATAATAGGGTTTCGAAAGAATTTTATAATTATTGCTTGCTATTTTACTGAAATCGGGTTAGTAATTAAGTTGGTTAATATTAACCAATTATCAGTATATTGTTCCCTTAATACAGGCTCACTGATTTTAATACGTCCATCTCATTTGTGAGAAAAACGCACGATTTTAGCTCCCTTAAATTATTATGCTATATTTGCATGCGCAAGTTAGACAAGCGTAAAAAACTTATTCGCAAAAATCATTCATCTATGAAAGAATACTCCTATATTACCTAATTAACTGTACATTATAGCATAAATTTAATGACTGAACATATTTATCCGCATAATTTGACGAATAAATCATTATTCGTGCTCCTAAGTTATACGAATGCAACATTTGTCTGTCAGTGGACAAGCGGTTGAAGAGTAAATTATTAATCGATTAATTGATACATCAGGATTAGAAGTACATATGACGATTTGCGCCTTCTTACCAGTCAAGTTTTCGAGTAATTGGTAATTGATCAGTTTCAATGGCACTAATTCACATCTTGTATACACCTTGAACATAATAAAATTTCACCGTTTAAAATCATGTAATAGTGTGAGCTTTTGCACGGTGTCTATCACTAGGGAAAATTTACTGTAACAACAATGATTACGCAAAAAAAAACGAATTTTAATGTTGCAAGTATTGCCAGAAATTTTGGAAAACGTTTATAAAGGAATTGTCAGCCAATCAACAGACTTGAGCTATGTACTACACAGGTTAGCTTGAGTGTCGTAAAAATGACAAGGCCCTCTATCGATCAGCAACACATAGGCGAGTTAGGTACCTAAGTAGCGTAATTAATGTAAAACATCAAACATATAGTACATCTGGCAAATAGTTAATTTGTATCAAGAAATTTCAAAATCATTTCACGGCACAGAAGAAAAAACATACATGCAACATGTAAAATAACATTGGTTAATAAATATATTTAAGAAATTCACCTCGTCATGAGCGAATTTTAATTTATTTTAACCAACTGCACATTTATTCTCAAACGAAGACCAGTTATCCGGCGATAAACACTTTATATTAAAATGCAGAAATTAAAAAATGTTGCTGCGCAATTGTAAACGACGTGCACCTTCCTTGAAACTTCAATTCTCCCGTTCGTTCAAAGCCGTGAACGACGTTCACTTGGCCACGTCAGATGTCCAAGTACTTCAACACGCAGATCTGGGCAGCGCTACTTTGAAATGTAGCGGCGCTACCGCTACCGCTACATGCTCTAAATGTAGCGGGCGCTACCGCTACCGCTACATGCTCTAAATGTAGCGGGCGCTACCGCTACCGCTACATGCTCTAAATGTAGCGGGCGCTACCGCTACCGCTACACCCACTAGATTGTAGTGAGCGCTACCGCTACAGTAAAATGTAGTGCCGCTACATTAGCCGCTACAATGGCCTAAATTATTGGAAATCTCTAAATATTTATTGTTCTGCTATTGGGATTTACTCATAAACATTTAATGATAATAAAACATTTTCCAAACATATCAATGCAACATTATTGCAATTAACCTAACCGAACTAGTACGGGTTAGATACAGTAAATAAAAGTTACAGTTATTTTTATGTTTTACCTTCCCTTCATGGATGTCTACTTTGATCTACCAATCTCAAAAATTATACACATATACATATAAAAAATCAGTCTTTTATTTGTATATATATGTGGATTATTTTTGAGATTGGTAGATTAAAGTAGACTTCCATGTAGGGAAGGTGAAACATAAAAATAACTGTAAGCAAACATGAAAAAATACCTGTAAGTGGTAACTGGTAACAACTCAACAAGTAACAACTAACATGTCGATACTAGTAACAGGCTGAGGTTGACAACATTACACCGAAATCTTTGGTAAAGTTTTATTCTGTAATTTATATTATGTATCATGCTGGTTTTTAAATAATATTTAATACTATAAAGTAAAATCTAAAGGCTTTATCTATAAATGTAGCGGTAGCGCTGTGGCGGCAAAACCTCGTATCGCTACTTAAATATGTAGCGGGCGCTGCCGCTACCGTTACAAATTATTGCTCAAATGTAGCGCCGCTACCGCTACCGCTACATATAATGCGCTACTGCCCACCTCTGTACAACACGTTTATTATTATTTCAACATTATTTTATATCAATTTTGAAGAGCTGGAAATGAAGCAAATACACGAATCGAGAAAAATAAATTCCATGATTTGGACTAGCATCATGGAGGGGCTGGGGTCGAACTTAATGGGCTCGAAAGGTTCTGCATAGACTTGAGGACCATATAACACCAAAATGTTCTCTAAACCACATGAGCAAAATCTTGCACAGATTTTTTCATTAATGATTACCTTCAGTTTTCGTTCAAAGTTCCAATTTAAACACCAAATGACTTGATCGGATCATGAGAAAGCCTCAGTAGCCAACCGATGTGCCGGTACCATATATAATGAAGGTCTCACGAGAAGGAAGAGATTTTTGTATCATAGTTTATAATGAGACTCCTTTTTTTGCCAGGGCTTTTTTCTGCCTCTAAACAAAAATTTCGTTGCAAGATAAATTGATTCATTATGACGTACATTAGATAATATGACCTAAAATAATTGATATATACTATTCATATTGAACAATTTGAGTTTTTTAAATTGGCCAAGTTTCGAAGGAACAAATTTCTTAGTAATTATATAGATGGCTTCGCTTAACTAATATGGAACCAGTGTCCACAATTTTTTTTTATTCACCTCACATTTATAGTGGCCATATTTCAAGAAGCATGCAATATGTTTTTAACGTCGATTGCTTAAAAATGTTAAGTTCAAGACTCATGACTCACGCTAAGATCAATTAAATTTATTGATGAGTCTCACTAGTAATGAAGTAATTGTATTAGTTCATTACTTTTAAATTATTAAACTAATTATAGATTTTTCGTTAACAACTATCGCGCTACGTCATTTCATGCTGATATTTAAATTTTAAAAAATTTGGAAGCAGTGTCCAAATTTCCAACTTTCCAAGTAAGCAAGATGTTACTTTCTCATGCAGAGTCCAGAGCAAGCAATGGGAAGAATGTCCTGGGCAGCAATTTTTCTCTCAAGTGCAGCGATGCTGACTGTAATAACTGCTAACTCCGTGCTACCAGCTGCATATTTGATACGAACCATGGAGAAAACGTCTGTGGTTGTCAGAGATGTGCAGATCAACGAGAACGCTTCTTACCACCTCTCTCAGGCAGCTTCCGAATGTAAGGAGGCAAAGTCTTTCTCAATCATCATAAAAATTTATAAAAAAAATATCATAATTTCAGGTAAGGAAACGCTAATATTTTGTCTAAGATTGTCGAAGCATTTGGAGACAGCTTGCATCATTTACTGCTCAAATGGTCAACAGGAAATGGAGATCGGTTTTGCCAGTGAATGAAATGGCTATAATTATACCAACATAATTATACAGATAGCATTGAAGTTCCAGACTAAAAACTCGTGAAATTTTCTGACGATTGCTGTACCGATCTTAGTCGGATGAGAATTCGAGTGATTTGATGGTAGCACATCTAACAGATCTAACACAAACAGTTCAGGGCGCAGAATTGAAGATTGGTGACGAAATCATCGCCGAATTTTTCGTCACTGAACGAAGCAGCGTTAGAACTGTGAGTTCACAAGGCTCAAGACTTGGTGATTATTTGATAGTTCCTGTTATTGTACATACAGTGTCATGCTCGCTGCTTTAGACTCTGACCTATATAGTGACTTTAATCCTGCCGCTTAAGGATTATATTATGCGCAATGTCGACATTGGTGTACTGCTTAGTGAAAGGTTAAGCTGCTTCCAAGCCAATGGACAAACGTCACGGTGACGAACATATACGTCATGGTGACAAAAATATACAGCTAAACTTTTACACACATCTTTAAAAGCCTTCGATCACATCCATCTGAAGTTACCATTTGCCTAATTTTTCTATAACTAGACCAATTGTGCAACAATTCATTATTTCATCTGTTCTTTAGTCATATAGAACATGAATTATATCAGCAATAAGTTATAGGCATCAGGTGGGATCGAACATTCCCGCCACGACTATCTTTTTCATGGCTGAAGGCACTTACCACGCTGTATCACTGCACTGATTTAATAAATTCGCAGGTTCTTCTCCATTTCTGCTTTCACTGATACTCGCAGAATTACTGATCACGTGCTTTTTAACAAATATTGCTGGCAGAGACCATATTAATGTAGGACACAATAATGAACAGGTCACATGATTTCACTGAGGAGAGCAGAAGTCCTCGTAACGGGTGCTAAGTGTCAACCGCGCTAGACAGCAAACCAAATGGCGCACGAGCTTCAATCCAAGTTTCGGGACATCTTTACAAATGTCGATAAATCTGCTATTTTTCATTTCAGTATAGGGAAATCCCTACTAAAATGGCTTGAGAGAAGCCTAGATATGAAATAGAATTATTTCAAATTAAAACTGAAAAATATCCCAACTATTCCTACAGCAGGATGCGAGAATTATAATTCTATAATTAACATAATTATGGTGCCAATTCTAACATGATCAATTACATATTTTGAAGAATCACTGAGTCATCAAACGCCTGGCTTCCAAATATATGGGAGATTTTTTTTCCCGCTATAATATTAAAAGATCGAGGCCATTAAAAGGTGAGTCTAGTTAACGCTACATTTAAAACATCTAACATCATCATCATCACGCAAACTTTCTCTTCAATTGGTATTTGGGTGCAAGAAATGCTAAATAATAAAATAGTTCGAGGTTCGTTAAAAACTGCTTCAAAAGACGCTTTAGGGGATTGACATAGGACCGATTTTAATTTACAATCGGCCTTTATGAAATATAATTGAGCAAATTTTACTCACGAACACATGGAGGCAAAATTAAAATAAAACTCCTTCAAATCAAACACTCCTTCAAATCAAACACTCCTTCAAATCACACACTCCTTGAAATCAAACACTCCTTCAAATCAAATACTTCTTCGTATCGAACACTCTTTCAAATCAATCACTCCTTCAAATCAATCACTCCTTCAAATCAAACACTCCTTCAAATCAAACACTCCTTCAAATCACACACTCCCTCAAATCAAACACTCCCTCAAATCAAACACTTCTTCATATCGAACACTCCTTCAAATCAAACACTCCTTCAAATCTAACACTCTTCTAAATCAGCATACATTCAAACACTCCATTAAATCCATAATCAAACACTGCTTCAAATCAAACACTCTTCCGAACTAAAAGCTTCTTTAAATCAAATACACTTTAAATAAAACATAACTTCAAATCAAAAACGCCTTCAAATCAAACAGTATTTTATATCAACATACATTCAAACACTCAATAAATTAAATCTATATTCAGGCTCTCCTTCAAATCGAACACTCCATCAAATCAAACACTCCATATCAAACACTCCTTCAGATAAAACACTCCCTCAAATCAAAATCTCCTTCAAATCAAACACTCTTTAAATCTAAATCTCTAATCAGGCTCTCCTTCAAATCAAATACTTCTTTGAAATACACATTCCTCCAAATCAAACACTCCTTCAAATCAAACATCACTTCAAGTCAAACACTCCTTCAAATCAAACACCTCTACAATCACACACTCCTTCAAGTCATACACTCCTCCAAATCAAACACTTCTGCAAATCAAGCACCAATTCAAATCAAATACTTCATAGAATAATAATTTTTCACACTTAATTCATTTAAGAATAACTTTTTTAAAAAGGTAGAGCTTGTTAATAAGGATAAAAATCTGTAATGTATGAAGCATAAATCACCGGCTATTGATTGTCTTGAGTATGACACGAGTCCAAATCACATATTTATCAATGAATTCATCCGACACAATATTAGCACCAACTCATACCAGTGCATAGATGCCATAGCAATCGTGTCTTACCCCAAATCCATTAACATTTTCGAAATCTCGTCCCTCAGGTGCGTGTCGCGGGAGGTGCTTCGTCGACAGCCGCTGCATCGCGCACTCCTACAACGCCAGCGGCGCGTGCGCTCTCAGCGACAAGCTCGGGCAGACTTCGGAGTCCAGCGGAGCTACATACCATTACTCAGGTAAAGGGATGCCTAGAGGTAGGTCAGTTAATTATTTACTTTTTTTCCAGCATGTTCGAGTAATTTATAAGTACTTTATTATAACTAATATTATTTCCACACGGATATTTACCTGTGAAACTCATTAGTTAGAAACATATATTTTAAAAAAATAACTGGGAACTATTAAAGTTTTGATTCCTGTCAGCCGCTGGCTCAAGGACGCCTTAAGCTCGCCTAGCACGTAATTAATTAGCGGTTCTATGTCCACTTTGGGTTCTGGTTGTACGAGGGAAATAAGCACCTGATTAGGATCCGGTTTATTCCTTGACAGCCGTGGGCGACTGCAGGCGCGCGTATTTGGTAATTGATACGTTCGGGACAGACATGGCCGAATCTGAAAGATGCGTTTAAAAATGCCTATTCGGCCTATCGGGCAATCGAAGGCAATGCCTATTCGGCCTATCGGGTAATCGACTCCCTTAATCGGCTCGTGAATAGCCGCTGAATGCAGTTAGGTGGCCCATATATAGGCGCCTGAGCCCCTATAAGCCGACTGTATGTAACCTGGGGCGGCCGCTAATGGAACGTAAAACTCGACTGGGAATGAGCTTCCTGATCCAAATTAATACCAAGGATAAGTCCAAGGATAAGTACTTCATCCAAAATTTTATCTCGGTCACAGAACATTTTGAGCAGCAACCTGACGGCGCGTTCTACAACAAGGCACTTCCCCTGACGTACACCGCTTGCGTGGCTCGGTGCTCTCATCCTGGCATGCAGATCCCCGCCGCCAAAACTCGAGCAACTTTCAATTATCTGAAGAGCGGTGAGAATTTTCAGTCAATTACTGATTGGAACTGATTTTTTTCTATATTACCAACACAAACCACGGTATAAAATTTAACGTAATAATAAGCTAAAGACAAACTTTTATTTTAATTGTTATTTTTGATCGGAATGTGTGAATTGGTAGGAACAACAATTTTTTATCATGTTACAGAATCAAGCTCGTGTTCCAATATCTACTCAATTATTTTCTTGTCGATAATGTAACTTTCCCCAGACTTTTTCAGTTCATAAGCTACAGGTTAGCACAGGGGTTAATTAGACAAAATAAAGGAAACACCTGAGAAATCAACAAAATATATTTTAGTATGGTGTAGGTCCACCTTTTGATGCAATTACTGACACAATTCTCCGAGGTATATTGATTCATACAAATTGTGAATCGTTTCCAAGGAATTTTAGCCCATTCATTATTCAGTCAAACTCCCTCCAGCTTTTTTAAAGACGATAGCGGCGGGAATCTACTTCTGACTTGCATCTCTAAAGTCAACCATGAGTGCTCGATAATAGACAGGTCTGGTGATTGTATAGTGGCCCAATGAGATGCTCGACTTCATTAGCATGTTCCTCGTGCCATTTTTTACCAGTTCCAGCTGCATGAATCCGGACATTATCATCTTGAAAGATGGCGTTCCCCTCCGAAAACAGTGTTTGAATCATAGGATGAACTTGGTCCTCCAAAGTTCCTAAATAGTCTCTGCTGTTGATTTATCCTGAAGGATAAAAATCAACAAATCATTGGTCCACCGGGTTTCCAAGAAATAGCACCCCAGATCATTACAGATCCCACGTCATGCCTTAGGGTTGTGAGGAGGCAGTCGGGATTAAATGACTCATTTGCCTGTCTCCAAAATGTAAACTCGCCCAGAGGTGGTTGGAGATAAGGTAAACGATGATTCGGCAGGGAAAATCACATTTTACCACTGCTCGAGGTACTAATTCTGCTGGAGATTTTTATACCACTCTAAACGCCTTGAAGCATTCGTATTTGAATACACAGGTTTTCTAATTGAAGCTCTTCTATAAAATCTGGTCTGTTCAGCTCTCGGCGGACAGTCTTTATGGTAAACGGGTCTGTAGGTTTACATTGAAGTCTGCAGTAATTCAACAGCCGTTGTCTTTCGATTGTCCCTCACAATTCGGTTTGGGTACCGACGGCCTGTCTCAGATAACTTCGACTTTAGGCCAGGCCTATGCTTTGATGAGGAACTTTTTCCTTCCCTTTCAAAAGCAGTCATTACTTTTGTAACAGTACCTCTAGAAACATCAAGCATTCGGGAAGTTTCTGTCATACTAGCACCTGCCATACGGGCACCAACAATTTGGTCCCCTTTGAAAGTCAGAGAGGTTTGCCGTTTACTGGTTACAGGTAAGGTATAGAAACAAAAATTTGTTAAAAATATCTGTGCAAGGATAAAATATCAGTTATCAATAAAAACAAACAATCAAAAATAAAAAATATGTGACGTTTACATAGTTTATAACATGTCCAAAAATTACGATATCAAATTTTCAGGTGTTTCCCTTATTTTGTCCAATTCCTGTATATTTATTTCTTGTTTTTAAAACAGATCCAAACATACGGGTTGGCCTAAAGAAAGGAGGCGATGGTGTCTTCCGTTGGTCTGACGGCAGCGAGCTTAACCTGACGATGTATGGAATGACAAGCCCGCCTGTGGAAAACGAACACACAAACATCTTCGTGATTTGGAGTGGAGTATTCGACGACGCCCCTTCTGTTTACCACACTGCAACATGCACGTGCCAGGGTGCCTTCGTCAACGTTCAAGCTTGAATAACATGAGCATTTGGTTTATATGCTCGACTACTGCATCATGAGTGTATTGATCCTCTGATATTCGTTTTTCATCATGAAATGTACCTAAAGAAAGTTCCACCTTAAATCCTGTGCGGAGAGGTGTAAGAAAATCTTCGTCATGTTTACTACCTTCCATATGTCGATGCCAGTGTGTGAAGTTCTTAATTATTCATTTCGATGACAAAGGTGCGGTGAAGGCACAATTACTCAAATGTTAAATCTTATGGGTGTTTAGGAAAAGCAGTATACTTTAGTGTGATTGTATATGTTAGATTTATCTATCAAGAATAATTTAATCGGAAAAAGGTTTTGTGACCTAGTAAATGAATCTATTTAATATGAAGTTTTGCTCCACACAATAAATGCACTTAAATTAGAACACCAGAACTTATCAATATACTGGGCAGGGTTGGCCCAGTGGTTACAGTTCAGAGTACTAGGATTGGAGCAGAGAGGCGCGGGTTCGATCCCAGCTCTGTGCGCCAGTATCTGGTCAGAATCGGCGAGGAGGCCGGGCGGTTAAGCACAGCAGAATTGTAGCAGTGAGTTGCGAGTTTGAGACCGCAAAATACTGTGAATTTTGTGCGATATTGAGAATCGGCGACAGGCCTATACGGCCTACTAAACGCTGAAACCGCTATTATTATTATTATTCAATTTTATTCGAGTGCATCGAGACGAAATAAGTTCGCCATTTGTCAAAAAGTATTCATTCTCGAATTTTCCTTTGAATGCTTCAAATTCTCTAAATCAATATTGAAGAAGTTTACAGCATGATCTATTAGAAATAATTTTCTTGACCAAATGAGATTCCATCACTAATGTAATCGAACTTACTAATGTAATCATGAATAAACGTTTTCAAAAACAAAAACGAGTTCTATAGTTGCATCCTGTAAAAAATATATTGGTGAGCAGGCCATTCTATGAGCTTTCCAATTGATAGTAGTTATTGATCTGTCTGAGACGTGGGTACAGACTGGTGCAGGAAAGACATGCAGGAAACAATGTCGTCCAACCTGTGGAGATCCAGTCACATCTATATTAGATTTAAAAAACTGAGTGATATTTTTGGAACATAGCCTCGATAAGAAACGAAGAAAGAAAGCAAACTTAAGTTCTGTAAACATTATGTTTCTCTGGCCTTTAATAGTCGATTGTCATATAACAGAAATTTACCACACAAGATGGAACCAATTTCTGCCAAGAATGTCAACTTGAATTCATTCCCAGTTAAATTTAATTCCGACGGTGGGCCTATGAGCATAATTCAATCTTAACATTGGATTTTCTCCAATTTACGCATGCACGTCAAGAATATCACATAAGGCAATTCAAAATCATCATATTTGCTGTATTTCTCACAGTTTACGAAAACATTGTAACTATTTTATAATAGGATATTCTTCTCGCTCTCTCCTCGTACACCCGACTGCGTCTGGATTGGTTGTATAAAACGGAAATACCGAAATAAAATAATAACGATCATTCCCTTTTCTGTACGTAGTTAATTATCCAAACGAATTTACTATTTTATCTTTTTATTTTGGTTGATATGAATGATTCAATTATTATATAATTAAATTAGTTCATAAGTTTCACATGCTCTTTTCGAACGAATGGATTTCGGTTGAATTATGTGTGTAAACACAAATTGAATTATTCAACTCGCTCCTGGATGATAAATTTTTCGTCATTTTGATCGTATTATTATGAAAGTTTGCATAAATATGTAGGAGATACAAGATTTATGGTTAAGAACTGTCATATGTCCTATACTCGGCGGTAACCTGTTGCTGTCAGTTTGGAGTATAACTTGACTATATGGATTATTCCATCACTAGATAATCAAAATATTCTTGGTTTAATCTACACACGACTGTTAATTCATAAAATTAGCTGCAAATTGCACCTTTGCAACTGTAGCGCTGTAAAAAGAAACCCAAACTGCCTGCTGTGCTGTCCTGTTCAAAACTTTGGGAAAAACTGAATTACCTGGCGATGAGAGGTAAATGCCAGATGCATGCTTCGACGAAATGCAGCTGCTTCTTCGCACATCGAACCTCATACTCTCAACGATGAGCGGGAAATAATAATAATAACAATGTAAATAATAATAATAATGGGAAGCTTCATGTATTTGATATGACGGGATAAGGTTTACGCAAGCGAGACGTCAAAAATTATAAATCGCCATCGTGCGTCGCATCTTCCAATTTCTTCATCAAGGGTCGATTTTTCGCAGTTCCATTCATAACGAACGCTGGGCTTTTGAGAGATAAGCAAAAATGTTTTTATTTAACTAGCAGCTGGGCCTCTGCTAATATATCATCTTGCATTGCGATAAAAAGGT